GATTAAATATCGTAAGAAAGAAAAAAAAATAAGGGGAACTAAATGAAAATAAAATATTTAATTTGAAATGTATAAATAAAAAAATAAAAAAGAAAGACAGAAAGTTGAAAAAAATTAGAGAGAAAATAAACGAAAGCAAGAAAAACAACAAAGACTAATGATAGAAAGAAACAAGAATATATATATATATATATATATATATATATATATATATATATATATATATATATATATATATATATATATATGTATGTGTGTGTGTATTTATATATATATATATATATATAGATAGATAGATAGATAGATAGAATAGATAGATCATATAATCCAAATAGAATGAAGAAGAAATAAATAAAAAAAAAACGTGAAGGAAGTAAGAATATATATATATATATATATATATATATATATATATAGATAGATAGATAGATAGATAGATAGATAGATAGATAGATAGATGATTGTATAATCCAAATAGAATGAAGAAGAAATAAATACAAAAAGAAACAAGTGAAGGAAGTAAGAAAGACAGAAAGAAACAAATAAAGAAAGAAAGAAAGAAAGAGTTACTCAATGGGAAATATATGTAAACGATAGATAGATAGATAGATAGATAGATAGATAGATAGATAGATAGATAGATAGATAGATAGATAGATAGATAATCCAAATAGAATGAAGAAGAAATAAATAAAAAAGAAAAAAGTGAAAGAAGTAAAAAAGAAAGAAAGAAAGAAAGACAGACAGACAGACAGAAATAAAGAAAGAAAGAAAGAAAGAAAGAAAGAAAGAGTTACTCAATGGGAAAGAAATGTAAACGATAGATAGATAGATAGATAGATAGATAGATAGATAGATAGATAGATAGATAGATAGATAGATCGGATAATCCAAATAGAATGAAGAAAAAAGAAATCAGTGAAGAAAGAAAGAAAGAAAAAAGAAAGAAAAAAAGAAAGAAAGAGTTACTTGATGGGAAAGAAATGTAAACGATCTAGATAGATAGATAGATAGATAGATAGATAGATAGATAGATAGATAGATAGATAGATAGATAGATATTTGGCAACATTTCAATGAGGAAAAAACAGGATGGAAGTAAATAAGAAAGGAAGATATGCAAAGAAGAAAATAAAATGTAAGTTGAAATGAAGAATAGAAACGAAGGAAAGATAATTGAATAAATAAACAGAGTTTAAAATAAAGAAAAATAGAGAAAGCTAGAATCAAATGTGAATAACGCCTGAAAAAAAAAGGAGGAGAAGAAAAAGGCAAATGTTACAAATCATTAATACAATTAGCAAAACATAAGTTTAATATAGGAAGAAAAAAATAACAGTTCAAAATTTTTGATTTAGAGAAACAATATGAGTCGGGAAAAATAGAAGAACGTGTAGCGAAAAATAAATTAAAGAGGAATAAGATTCAAAACTAAGGAAAAACATACGAAATCTGAGAGAGAAAACAATACATATTCACATCTAAATATAGCATAACTTAAGTTTACACACACACACACACACATATATATGTATATATATATATATATAGAGAGAGAGATAGATAGATAGATAGATAGATAGATAGATAGATATAGACAGTGACACACAGAGAGAAACAGACAGACAGTATCTATATGCTCAGTTAAATAAAAAAAAAAAAATATTTTAGATAATAGCTGATAGAACACCCCAAAGCACCTGGATATTAAAACATTGGGACAGTTTTTGCACGCTTTACCTCCAGAAAAAATAAAAATAAAAATAAAAATAAAATAAAAAAAACAAAAACTATTCTATGAATGCAAGAATAATTTAACAAGAATCTTAATCACAGTTTCTTCTCAGTTGTTTTAAATGAAAATTGTATAAAATAGGGATTGCTGCCGAAAAAACTCAATTACACACACACACACACATAATTAAACACACACACACACACGCACGCACGAACACACACACATAAACACACACACACACACACACACACACACACACACACACATATATATATATATATATATATATATATATATATATATATATATTAAGAGAAGGGGAACCTCGAGGCGGTGTAATAGTTAACTTTTTTTTTCGCAAGAATATTTCCGATTGATTAGTGAGTTTGATCCTCACTGGGTGCCCCCTACTTTCGGTTTTGTGCCACATCTAAGCCACACTTGGAAAATCACTCTGTATAGACAGGGAGAGAGGAAGGGGGAAAGAGAGAGAGAGAGAGATGGATGGAGTGTGATAGACAGGAGTAATAGACAGGTATACGCACACTTAAGTCCACTACTCTTTCCTATAGCCTGGTGCTCCTGAAAGTATTTACGTTTAATTTTTACATCAAATGTTTATTTTGTCGGTCAAGCCTCTTTAATCGTCAATGTAAATGTGAATTTTTAATTACATATCTCAGAGGCAATAATTATGGAGTACACATTGTCAGAGCAAATTTCTGATACTACACGGCGTGTCAGTTTGTGAACTTATTGATCCATAATAGTCTATTCTCTGCATGCGCATGCGTGACTCTGTGAGTGTGTGTGTGTGTGTGTGTGTGTGTGTGTGTGTGTGTGTGTGTGTGTGAACAACGAAGTAAACTTTAGATGATTACCGTATACAAACAATGGATTTTGAAGGAAAACGACCAAAAATTAAGAAAATAGAGAAACAAATTTTAAAGCCAGATAGAAGCTTCTGTCGGTTAAATGTGAAGTAGGAATTAGATTTTGGAAAAATTATATTTCGACGTAATAAAAATTTTAATCGGTAGTTGCTTTCTAGATTAAAATCTCTGTGTGATGGTAAAAGGGTAGAAAGTGTAAATCCGTGAAAAGTAAAGTTAAAAATAAAATATTAAAGAAAGATAAAAAAAAAAGAAAATGGGAAAGTGTGAACGAAAATGATTAAAATGCATGAATTTTATAAGATATATATTTTTTAAGAGTGTACAATAAAATATTCGTAAAGGCAATATTAAAAAAAAAAAAAAAAAAAAACAGAAAGAAACAAAGAAAAGAGAGATAGATATATAGATATATACATAGATAGATGGAAGGATAGAGAGAGAGAGAGACAAAGAGAGAGAGAGATGTAAAAAGAAAGAAGAATGGAATAATTGGTTCATTTGATTTGAATAATTTATTTTTTACGATTTATCATCTCTTTGTAGGTTGTTCAAAACCAGAAAATTTATTTTTTTAGATTCTAAGAATTGTTTCTTTTTTTTTAGTGGGGATAATAATGGTATAGTGATAAATGTCTAGTTAATTGCCATGAGTAGAGGGAGTGTGGATTCATATATTTATGAAGGGTATTGCCGCGTTTGTGATCATCACGAACACAACAGGAATTAGAACTCGGCTCTCTGATTAACCATCCGCGCATCCAAGCATACAACACCTGGAATTCCCAAGCGGTTACCCATCTAGGTAATAACCTGGTACATTATTGCTTAAAATTATTGATCGTACGAGAATCGGTGTTTCAAGTTGATGTGGTCCTAAGTAAGAAAGATGGAAGAAAGAAAATAAGAAAGGAAAAGAAAAGAGAAGAACAAATATAAAAAAGAAGGAAAAAAAACAAGAAAGAAAGAAAGAAAGAAAGAAAGAAAGAAAAGTGTAATGTAAAAAAGAGGAAAAGGAAAACATAGAAAAAAATAAAATAGAGAGGAAGACACAAACTAAAAGAATAAAAAATTAAATGAAGAATGAAAGAATTAAAAAGAAAATTTAAATATAAATCACACAAATAATGAATAAAATAAATACAAAGAAACCGAAGAAAGAAATTTATAAGCTTATTTCGAGTTTAAACCAAATAGATACAACGGGGGTTAGAGCCTGAAATTTTAAATGTACATTGTAACCCGGATATAAGAGACCCGGATATAAGAGAAACACGGATGTAAGAGAGATTTTCTCTGGTCCCAAATTAGAGCCTGTGTTAATGCATATAAAATAGACCAAACCCGGATATAAGAGAAACCCGGATATAAGAGACTTCTTCTCCGGTCCCGACAACTCTCTTATATCCGGGTTACACTGTATTAGAAAAAATAAAGCAAAAATAAGGAGGATTTGTCAGAGCAAAACGAATGCTAAATATAGAAAACGAATAAAAAAATAAGGCATGAGAAAAGAAAGAAAATGAATAGACAGACTTGTAGATTTAATAAATAAAAATATGGGAGCGAAAAAACAAAAAAAAAAAAACGCAGAAATAAAAAATAAAATAATAGAACGATAATAAACAAAAGTTAAAACAAAAAAGAAAAAACGGTCAAAATAGAGACTGAAAGAAACAGTGATATCAAACAAAAAAAAGAAAGAAGGAAGAACAATATAGGGAATGGAAAACGGAAAAGTAAACAGAAAAAATGAAACTAAAAGAAACGGTTAAAAAATAAAAGAAAGATAAAAGTGCCAACGCCATTAGAAAAAAAAAAAAACAAAAAAAAAAAAACAGTTGATAAAAGAAAGACACGTATAAAGCCTCCAGTGAAGAAAGACACAGAAATAATTTTTTTTAATGCCATTAAAGTAAGAGAAATGTATTTAAGAATATGACAAGAAAAGGGGAAAACAAGAAAAAGAAAGAATATAAAACGAGAAAAAAAAAATCAAAGGAAATTAGAAATAAAAAAAAAGTACAAGTAGAACAAACATCGAAAGAAAAAATCTACAAAAAATATAGCAAACATTATGGAGACAAAATCGTAGCAAAAAAAAAAAAAAAAAAATGACGCCGAAAATAACATACCAGAACTTTTATTATTTTAACTCTGAGATTGGCACGTAAGTATTTAACAGTGTTTCTGTGAGTAATTGCGTGTTCTTATTTAAGAGAAGACAGGTCGTAAGAAGTTAAGCTGAGTAAATATTAGTAGAAGACACGACTAAATTCGTATATATCCTGACTTTGGGAATATATTTTTTTTTTAAATCTGGTTGAATTTTAAGTGGAGATCAGAGATACTAAAACTAAGCGAATTTG